AAGCACAGGAAGAGGAGGCAAGAGAAATATGTCATTTAATAACAAGCCAGTAGAAAGAGGCAGGGGACAGAACTACTGAGGTGCAGGCTGCAGAGCAAGAGTCACAGACATACATGTACAGTGTGCTATGAAATCATTACAATGCAAGAAACAAAAACCTCCATTTATGATTAAAGCCCAATCAAGCCTCAATAACATTTCTTAGGAATTAACAATAAAAAAAATTCGTATGTATTGGCCAATATTTTTTGGGTACGTTTTTTACACCTAAACATTGGTATTGGCATCTGGCCCCAAATATCCATATCAATCAGGCTCTGTTGATGCACATTTGTTCCTATTTATTTATGTTTGCCAAACACGGACAATCATATTAAAATCAGCAGATATTCCTCCTCATCTTTAATAGACACATTATTAAATATCATACTCATCTTTACGTGCACATGATTCATATGTTTACTGTGCCATAATTTGTCATGAGAAAAATGACAGGACCTTTGACCTCAGACAGGTTGGACATCGCTCTACTTCAGTTTGTCTTGAGGCAAGAATTCAGTCATTTTGGAGGTTTTCCATCACAACATGATTTAAATTGGTGTGAAGAATCTGTGTGTTCGGTTGTTGAATCATCTGTGCTTTCTCTATCGCCTTGTATTTTAAATCATAAGTCACTGTTTTATCTATCTATCTCCTTCTCTTCTTTGCACTAAATTGTTCTCTTATTTTTATCTCTTCCAATACTCTCTGTCCGATATATACCTGTGCAGGTTTACACACACACACACACACACACACACACATGCAAGAGACCCACACTCCCGCATGCACACTAATTCAATGTCACCACAGCGATAGAATCAGTGTGAGGCTGTATGTCCCCAAGCAAACGACACACTGGCACATACAAGGGCAAGCTAACACATGCACGCAAGTAAAAACACACACACACACACACACACACAGGGAATAGACCCCCCCCCCCCCGTGCACCAGTAGAGAACCGCTGCAAACAAAGATTAGAGAAAACACTTTTATGTGCCTCTGCTTTTTATTTACTCTCGGCTGTGGTTGCAGGCTCAGCGTGACGGGAACTGCACACACTCTGTCCGAGCTTGAGACTTCCGACTGAAACGCACCGGCTGTAGTTGAAGCTTCTTTTCTAATAAGCACAGTAGTATTTGGTTTATAATTACACTCATTAGGGAACTGTAGCCTGGACTTTCCATAATCAACACTGATGCGCTGGACACAAAGACACAGAGCTTCAAAGACCTCAGGCCCGTTCTGTAGTTGCAGTAACGACAATACAGCAGTAATGACAGTAATGATACTTTGATGATGCCAATTATACATCGCCCTTAGTCTCCCTTCACCATCTCTCCCTTCCTCTCCCTCTCACTTATGAGGCTCGTGTTGTCTCCTACCGAACTTATAAATGCCCTGATTGGAAATCATATCTATATTGTAGTTATATGCTCTGGGTCATGAGATGTTGCGGGTCATCCACTCACCAGAAGGTTGGTGGTTAAATCCCCAGCTCCTCCAACTTACATTCTGAAGTGGGCTTGGGTAAGATACTGAAACCCAAATTGCCCCTGAAGGCTGTGTGTGAATGGTGGGGTAAAAAGGTGCTGCACTAGATGAATGTGTACAAGAATGGGTGATTGTGTCTTGTTCTGTAAAGCACTTTGAGAGGTGGATGACTGGACAAGTCCTATATACTGTATATATAAATACACTCCATTGAGTCCATTTACATGTGTACGATGAATCTTTAAACAATCACGTTGTTTCTTGACAAACTATCAATCATAGCCCAAAATTACCAATTACTACTTTACTCTTCTACAACTTGGAATATTACGACCTTATTATTGTAATCTTACTGGCCCTAATATGTCATGAACAAAACATCCTCATCGCCCACAGTCCTTACTGTCAGAGCTGCTTAAAAGTCAGGAATCCTAACAACTGAGAGACAGTGTGTGCATAATATGTATGTGTGTTCTGACTCCTGTGATTTTTGTCTGCTTATTTTGAATTTCATATTTGGTGATAGTGTCTGTTTGCATATCTGAGGTCAGTCAATGTTCTCTGGGCGACAGAGGATATATTTAGTCCCGTCAAAATGCTTCTGTTTACTTGTGCATGTTTGCAGAATTGCGTGGTCCTTGTTTACAGAATCAGAGGCAGCCCGTGCTTGTAGCTGCACACATGGCTGCGTGTGTGTGAACAGTCCACACATGTGCTGAAGTATCTGTAGTATATGTGGTAATGTGATGTGTGTGCACTTGCCAGTGTCCACCCTCCCTCATCAGTATGATTTAGAAGCTGCTAACATGCTTGCAGTGTTTGTACTGGTCCATCTGGAAGCCAATTTCTGGCCGCACCAGGAAGAACCGACGCCCTCATGCCAACTGTGGGGCCACAGTGGATGGGTGGGGGGTCCTCCAGTGGTTGGAGTTAGTTTGAACTGGGGGAAAGTGCTATAGTATTTCAGGATGGGTGAGCAGGAGGCACAAGATCATAAATAGAGTTTTTATTGCTGAGCCACGAGGGTCAGTGAGCCGGGGTCTTCCCACAAGATCTCAGCAGTGATTGATGGTTCCCATGAGGCGAGGGAGGAGGTTGTGCAGCGCAGGCGTGTGTGGGTTGGTGGTTGGATATAGGGGCACATGAGACAGCAGAAACAGTAGACATGGCAAGGCTGGGAGAGCCTCCCGCCCTCCCTCCCTCTTGTCCCTCCAGGGGTTACCCCCTGATAATCTCCCGGCCCATGTCATCCCACAGATCTCTGTGAGCGCACACAGCGTGGGCTCTTGTCTCGCACAGCTTCTACCAAGAGCTGAAAGAATCTTGAAAGTCTCTGCAGGACATTCAGTACAAACACACTCAGATACGTGCATGAGAGCGATGAAAACCTTTGGTCTTGGTGAGCCTCCAAACAGCAGGGGGATTCACAGCCACTGTACTTACAAGTAGCTTGTGCTTCACAAACCTGAAGTGCAGGACATCCAGGGTATTGGTTTATAGAAACACTCTCAGACAGGATATCAATTTCTTTCTCTGTCCAACAACACTGCTGCAACTTTTATTAAAGAGCTATTAGAAAGCACCTTTAGAGAGAACCACATCTATTTTTAAACATTATATATTCATGAAGAGAAAAATCAAAGTAGCAAAACATTATTTATTAAAAGTTTAAAACTCTGCTTAATTCTCAAATCTGAAATAACCTAAACTCGATGCTTGAATCGGCCACTAAGATAAGCTTAATTTATTTAAATTGCACCAAAAAACGATCTACTGTCAGCATCTTGAGCGCAATGTTGTCAGGTCTGTGCCAGGCTGGTCTCCATGTTAATGGTCATGCCTGCTCTGCAGAAAGCTTAACCTTATCACAAAATTGCCAACAAGAGGTCAAGACCAAAACTATGAATAATGTCGACTCTTCATTACAGAGGGATGTGAGGGATGCTCTGTATGTTATGTTCTGTAGGTCTTCAATAGGGAGTTTGTTTTTACAAAGATTCTAATTTGGGGTGCGTTACTGAGTAGTTTGGCAGGCGTTTGCGGAGGCTGCGTGGTCGAGGACCACAGAGATTTTTTTCATTCGGTGCCAGAGAGCAGCGTTGCTCAAAGCTTTTGAGAAAACATCTGATGGAGCCTCTTGAGTGCTCCCAGATTGGCAACATGAATAGCAGCTTTCATAGAGGCTGTTTGCCCTAATGTGTTTTTTAACTGTGTGTGTGTGTGTGAGACAGAGAGTATTTTCATGCATGTAGGTATGTATGCATCACAGACTCCACTTCACTTCATTTTGGTCTCTCTATGTGCTTGCGTGCATGTGTGTGCGTGAGTGTGTGTGAGTGGCTTCAGTATTTACGTAAATAACTTGAGGCGGAGGCAATAAGCCAGCAGCAGAAATGCACAGCTGGGTGTATTTCAGGGACTTTTTTTTCAGTGCTGATGTCTCAATCCTTCACAGTGCCACTGTGGACCCACCTTTCCATTATTTATAGAGACAGTAGCTGCATATGAAACAAACTGCTCCTCTTTGTGACAACGTCTGTCCTTTGAAGGCTTCCTCCTCCAACCTCATGAGCTCTGCTGAAAAACTGAGGTGTTCAAGCTGCAGCTTTTGACAGAAATGTGTTTGCTTCCTGTTTTCATTTGCTGCTACTCACTTGCTTCTGTATTTTAGCTGATCTAATTTGAACTTTAATGCCTGCCAACATCCTCTGGGCTTCTTCACGTGTTATATACTCCTTGTTGTGTTCTTGTTTATCCACTTGATCCTCCACAAAGGCTGCACAGCTGCTGCGGGAGCAAGCATGGAGTAAAGTGAAGCGGCTTGACAGAGGGGCCTCACTGGTCCTCAGAGAGCCACACTGCAGCCCTCTGTCTCCCCCAAGTGGCGCTTGATCACACCCCAGGACCACCACCACTTGGGCTGCACCCACTGTGCAGTGGGGACATGTATGCAGTGGTGCCCAGCACTGTCCTCTTCTGATGCCTCTTGCGCACGTGTGTGTGTGTGGAGAGGAGGTGCCACTGTGTTTGAAGAGCGATGACAAGCACGACTTGCTTCAGACAGGAGAGGGGTCAGATTCCACACACTCTACAAAGCTTTGGGAATCAGGGGTATTTTTTCCAGTGTGTCCCCGGTGGCTATCAAGTTTTAACAGGGCGGCTTTGTATGCTGGGTGAGTCTGGTCGGGCCACGCTGGGGAAAACGATATACCTCCATCAGTACACATGGCCTCACTCCTCCTTCTCACTGAGTTGCACATGCAAATGCAGGGATGCCTTGGAAAGGGAGAGAGAGCGTCTGATGTATACTCCAGAGAAAACTTGTGGTTTGACGCCTTTACTGTAAAATGAACCTGTATTATATAGAGATATAAATCTGTCCTCCTGTTAAGTATGTCGTGTCTCGCTCTCTCTATAGCTGCCTCATGAATTTTTGTTGTGCTACTCCTCTTCTTCTATCACAGGTATGAAACGTCCATTCAGCCCATCAGCTTTGCCCAACACCGACCTGGACAGGAGGGGGTTTGGTGCAGTGCTGGGAGGTCAGATGGATGTGGAGCCTTGCTGCGAAACCCAGGATGAGGGTGCAGTACCGGACGAGCACTCACCGGGGGGCGCCCTGCCTGCTGCACTCTGCAGACCCAAAAGGGAGAGGAAGCTGCGCAGCTACACGCTGTGTGAGGTCTGCAACATCCAGCTCAACTCAGCTGCACAGGCCCAAATTCACTACAATGGCAAATCCCACCAGAAGAGACTCAAGCAGATCAGCAATGGCAAGATGCCAAGCACCACAGGTAGGCAGTGCTGTTTGACCGACCGTTTGTTTGTTCATTGTTTTCACAATTAGATATGTACGCAGAACATTGGATAAAGTGCTCTGCAGCTGGATTGGTAACACTGTGTAGCACAAGAGGACCGTGCAGATTAACAGAATCCCACACACTGTTCACAGCACACTGTCACCAGCCTCTGTGTGCCAATTCCCACGACTTGTATTCAATAGAAGTTAAACAAATTGGATTCTATTTGCTGAAATGTGTTCAGACAGAGCCTTGGGCTGTGGACACACTGTGGAACAGAACTGAATGAAGTCAGAAAGTGAGACGCTAATTAAGTGCCGGTTGTGTTTGATGGTTGTGCTCCTGGAAGTAATGCGGCTATAGAGTGAGTTTGGACATTTTTTCATTCCAGTCACAGCCTCGATTAGGACTGTACTGCAGGGGAATCATTCAGTTGCGTTTGACTCGCTCAGACTCCTGCCCTCTCTCTTTTTTTTGCTTTTTCAGCCTTGCCAAAAGGATGCAAACCAAACAAAACACTTACAAAATTCAAGAAAAACACACTGTCATACCACAAGCTCGAACACCCCACTAAAATTATCTATATAGAAGTTAAAAAATACTTTGAGAGACCAGTTCAGGTTGTTAATTGTCATGGATGAGTGGATCTTTATAGTACAAGTCGCCTGAAGGCTGAGGGGGTCACAGTAGGTGGCTGCTCATTTTGTTTTCGATACTGGGAAACAAGGAGACTGTCTCAGTATAACAAGTTTTGGAGCCGCAAGGCGTTTGTCAGAATTAACCAATCACGTGGCCAATACCTGCCCCACTGTCAACAGCCAGCAGGGTCTCATAGATAATTTGTCAAGACACAGTTTGTTCTTTAGTGTGCATTTAAATAGGTGTGTGTGTGTTTTTGCAGTCCTCCTGCCAACATTTAAAACGGGTATTTTCTCACATTAGCATATTGAATTTCTGAAAGGAAGAGGAATAATCTGGTCAATATTGTTAAATGTTACGTCCTGAAAATATATTTCTAAGGTGGACCTCAAATAACTAGGCTTGTATAACAGTGTAATTTTTAAGACAGCTCTGGGAGTTTACGTAAACAATCCTTGACCAAGACACTTAATGACCAAACACTCCAACATGCTCATTGAACAACAGTAAGTGTTTATTCTTGCAGTATTTACTCTATTTCTAATAATGTTCTGCTAAATAAAAAGGAGTACAATAAATACTAAAATTTGCTTTTGCCTACGTCTGTGCAAAGCTATTTTTTAAGTAGAGCTAGTAGTGTGAGCTTCTGGAGCGGTCGCATGATATCTGAGATACAGTTAATAATAACAATCATATAATAATTAAATTCTGTAGCACTTTTCAAGTTATGTAGTGCTTTACAAGATAAAACAATAAAACATCAATAAAAAAGCTTGTCTCCTCTATTCACCAGTCAGGCTCTGGGAAATACCATTAGACTGTCAGCTGATCTCATAGGAAGTAAATAAGTACTTGATATACACAGGGGCCTGGTTGCGTAAAGCTTTCAAAGTCAGTAATAAAATCTTAAAATCAACGTTAAAACATACAGGAAGCCAGTGCAGCGAGCCTAGAATCGGTCATGTTTTCTTTAACCAGTAATAATCTATAGCAGCAGCATCCTGTACCAATCGGAAACAGCCATACCTGTACAGGATGTAACAGAAATCTAGCCAGGTATAGAAAACCATGTGTACGTCCTCAAATAATAAGGATTTAATCTTTGAAATGAACTGGAGTTGGAAAAAGCAGGATCAGACAACATTTTACTAAGCACATGATTTGTTTAGGAAAGTAAATGAGATGATTATTTCTAGTTGTTAAAACAATATTAAGATCATTGAATTTTCCGTCTTTACTCACTTTAGTCTGTGGCTACATGGAGAGGGTGAAAAGAGCTGTTTTGCGTTAAGTTTAGATTGGATTATATTGTGTGAGGTTGTTTTTGGTCTGTTGTTATGAGTCGGGTGAGACGGGTGGCATATTGCTGGTGTCAGACGTAGTTGTAGGAAATGTTTCATTGCACTACGTGAGAACGTAGTGCAATGAAAGAACAGTAATTCAGTTTACTTATAATCACACGTCATCATCCGCTTGGCATCAGTTAAGCTTCGGCTTTGTTTATCTACTCTCCATAACGGTTTTAGTCACAGTTATCTGTCTATATGTGTAGATCAAATTGGGATTATTTGATTAAGGACGACTCACCTAGAGCTCAAGTTTGCAAATATCTGAAGCCTCTCCAAAATCTACCTGAACCTTTATTTCAGAAGCACTAAAAATATGTCCTTAAAAAACTCTTTGTTCATACACTATGTGCAGTATTACTTTTTTCATGTCCCATATTACTGTTTAGCATCATACTATGTTTAATATCATGTGCATTATTACTTCCATGTGAATTACTCCTCTTATCATTGGCATCACTTCAGTTCAGTATTGGTTTACTGACTCATGTAACTTATTCAAGCTCATAATATCGACAACATCATTCTGACTAGTTCAAACTCAACTTAAGGTATCTTGATTTGAGGTGAATTTAAGATATCTTGAACCTATTTCAGATTGTCTGTAATAAATATTTAATATATATACATATATATATATATACAAAACATTGTACAAGAAGACAAGGAATATTTTTTTCTAATAAACTGCTGGAAAGGATACAATGTAGCTTTTGTCTTTTAATCTGATTAATAATCGATTCATGAAAAGAAAAGATTGACAGATTAATGGATTATCAAAATGGTTGTTGGCTCAAGCCCAAGTCTGAACCATTTGTAGTCGTTTTTCAGCAGAGGATGTCAACTTGTTAAGGTAGTTGATGAAAACAGGACCCATGTCATACAAAAGTCTTTAGTTTGACCCCTAAATTACAATGTAAAACCTAAACTAACCAGATGAAATGTTAGAAATTTTACTTTCAGGTGTAAAAAACGCCAAGACAAGAGAAGTGCTTTATAAATACTGTAAATGTACTATTATCATGTGACTTTTTATAAACATAGCCAACACATAGTAGAGAGTATAAAATATTTATTCGATGATGGAGTTCTGTTCAGTGCCTTCTTTGTTATGTAGCGGTTATGACGATGGATCAAATCACTATTCTAGTTTTGCTTAATCTGACAACAGAGAAACAAACAAAGACAACAAGTGGCTCTTGTGAAGCAGAAATGTAGTGACCATAGGGGAGAGGAGTACGTCATCTGCTTTTGTTTGTCTGAATTTTAAATTATGCATTTTTTAGAGAGGAGGAAAAAATGACATTCGGGTACTTTTCTCAATGTGGGCAGTAAAACTGAAAAATATGTTCTGAAAATGCCAGTGTTGACAGAAAACTTTCAACTGTAAACATTTCAGATTTATCTCCAGGCCTGAGATCAGCACATAAGACTGACACATACGTAGCTGAAATGGGGTTTTAGTGTGTATACACAAAGCACTTATACACCTGACTTTTTGCTGAGAAGATGGATGTTTTAATGCAAAATGTGTTATATGTCTTCTTCCGTGTGTGCATGTGTTTTCCTTCTGTCTGTCTTTCTTTGTGTGTAGCATGATAACATGGAACATATGATTATAATAATAATTTTTATTATTATTGTCTAACTATATTATTTTCTCAGAATTAAGCCCCCCCTTGTTAAAACAGATTTACAGTGGCAGAAAAATGGTCAGCTGCTTTGTTTTTGTTTGTCTCTTCTCACTGCTGGATCCTTGGATAACAAACTGAACAAGTGGTCACTTATTTCTCCTTTTGGCGGAACAACACAGAACAACACATGTGCTTGTCAGCGGTCAGGTTGCTTCCAGGTCTAGTCTGCTCTGCTGCATGTGCAAGTGCAGCTCGTAACTGAAAACACGAGTTGATGCTGTTTGATCATTCACCCGTTGTCATCAGCAGCTCTTTGAGGTGGGTTTGGTGGTTTCAGGGTGAAGGAGACCAGAGAGCATGAGAAAGAAAAACGTAATCAATTCTGTAATGTAGCAGAAACTTGAGTTGTATGCAACAGAGCATGCATCGTCTAAATTCTCTGTTTTGGTTCACTGCTGCAGGTGATGTGGACCACATACATGAAAGTTTTGTGGGTGTGTGTTTGTTCGCCATGTTGTGTTTTGCAGTGCAGTGCTGTGCTGTGCTGTTGTGGTGTGCAGATTCTCCCTGACATGCAGTCACAATCACACAGCCTTATCTCTGCTCACCTTCTGCTGACTCCCTCAGGCAGCCAGCCCTGCTGTGTCCTCAGCTTCACCACAGCTTCGCTGCTGTGTGTGTGACTGTGTGCGTGCTTCCGTCTGTATATATGTGTGCATCCTGCATGTCTCGATATTTTTAGAAAATTAAAATGCTGCAGAGTCTCTAACTTGTGCTTTGGAAAACTAAAATACGTGCTTCGGTGCATCTGTGTTTACATCGGCCGACATATGTACAGTACAAGACATCTGTCTCTCGTATGGATGTTCGTAGGTTTAAAGACTCAGTGAATGAAGAAAAGAAACGTTTTTCCACAAAGTGTGTGTGTGTGTGTGTGTGTGTGTGTGTGTGTGTGTGTGTGTGTGTGTGTGTGTGTGTGTGTCTCCCAGCGAATCGTCTCCATGTCGGCGAGCGTTGCCCTCCCTCTCTGCTTCACTGAGCTGACAGTCGGTCCAGGCTCTTTTTTTTCTCCCTCTCTATCCTGTCTTCCTTCCTTCCTCTCTCCTCTTCCTCTCCTCTCTTTCCTTCTGGCATTGATGTCAGACATGTGGTGCAGCCAGTCCGCCGAAAAGATGAATGTGCCTGTTATTAAGTTATTTTACTCTGTCATCCGTAGAATACTACGTGGAGAAGAAAGTGTAGAGGAAGGATCCAGATGTTTGGATGACAATGTGAGCTTACTTGCTAATTTATTCAGTGTATGGCCTTTTTCTGAATCATATATAATGTTTCACAAAAGATGATAATAAAAATTAGACGTGAACACCAGGAGCCG